GAGTAACTTAACTAACATTTGTGGCCTTCCTTGAACCTTGGATGTGTATAAGACTATTTGTATAAGACTATATTTATGACCCCATGGCCCATCCGACTAATTGCATAAGGTTGGAATTTATAACTTTGCTTTTGTTCTCTATTGGTGTTTTATCTTCACTCTTTCCTCTTATCAATAATTTTTTTTATTTGGTTTCTTCTCTACACTCTTTCCTACAAGTACGAAGTATTTTCCAAACATAAAGATAAGGAATTGATAGAAAAGCCACCCAAGGCTACATGCCTACATTCATATTTTCATTTAAACTTCTTAAATTGTACTCCATTTTTCGGATACTCCTCAAACTTTCCTTTACCCTAAAAAGCATTTTCCATCCCCAACTAGCATTAGTGGGAGCATTATACATGTAAAATTTGCTACTCTTCTCTACAAAGCACAAGTGACTAATATTACACCCATGATGATGGAAAAACTCATACGAACCGTGAGATGAATTTGTTGAAAACCATTTACTTCACGACTCATGTGCATCCTTGTCGTTATCCATCATCCATATGTTGTTTTGCCAAGGCGAAACATCAAAGAAAGCTACCGATCCTCTAAGAAGGAAGATAAATCTGACCGACTTTTCCTTCTCCCCATTTCCATCCTCGGGTAATCTTACAAATGTAAATGCTTCACTACTCAAGTCAAAAGACGCGACATGGGTAGGTCTCCATTACCATGTTCCAATCTACCCAACAAGAAAACCTCGTTCGAGTAATCCTTTACTATGAACCCTTCATCTAAGTATATAGTCTTACTAGATACACTCTTAAACGAGCTATTTCATGAAGTTGCAGACTTTGGAGAATTCATGGATAGAAGAATAGGAGGAATTTGAATCTTGGGATATCAAAACTGGAACAAGTGGAAGATGCACTAAATAATTCATAGCTTCATAGATTCTCTATTATGTATTTTAAAATTTGTTGTAGTTTTTTATAAATATTTGAATTTTACAGTAATATTTGGGCTACAGATTCATAGCAGAATTATATAGTTTGTGGTTGGTTTGGAGCGGGGATTAGGTGGGGCTGAGGCGGGGATGGATATCGGTGTGGGGCGGGGATGGTTTTAGGGTTGGACCCGCTGGGGCAGGGATGGGGATAAATTGCAGATGAGCTTTACATGTAATTTTGGAGCATGCACACCCCTTAACCCTCCAAAATTCACATACCAAGATATGGGCGATTTGGTGGTGGTTATAGTGTGAAGGGTCCCACACATGAATTTTCATATCAATTTGGACCAAAAGATCAATGTTGGTTTGTTGATATCTGATTATGTTCTATTGTTCAGTGGCTTGGTATGGGAAATCAGGAGTTTCTGGACTACTTCAGTGGGCTATGTGGAGGCTAAGCGGCTTCACATGCACTCCCAAGGGCAGGGGACAGGAAGGCCTGCTTAGGAAAGTAACAAAAAGGCAATGTTTTACCCTGATGAGTTCTAGCTCGTTTGTGGGCTATGTGGAGGCTAAGCGGCTTCACATGCACTTCCAAGGTCAGGGGACAGGAAGGCCTGCTTGGGAAAGCAACAAAAAGGCAATGTTTTACCCTGATGAGTTCTTGGCTTATTGGGACATAAAGGCTTGTTTGGTAAAGCAACAGAAAAGCACTGCTTGGGACAAGAAGGCTTGCTTTGGAAACCAACAAAAAAGGTACTACTTCACAAGTACTTCCTATGGCTTCTTGGCTCGGAATGATGACCTTGATGAGTTCAAGAAGCACGGTCCAGGTTTGCTTTCTAATCAAGTCATTGGTTATGATCTCAACACGGCCATGTTGTGCCTCCCATACTCCCACACATGAGTTCGTTGTCCCGAGATCAATTCCTATAGCTGGCCATAGTTCATGTTGTTTTTGTATTTCACTCATCTTCTTATAAAATATAAATGTAGGTTTGTTGATATCTGATTATGTTCTATTATTCAGTGGCTTTCTATGGGAAACCAGGAGCTTCTGGACTACTTTAGGGGATATGCTGTAGTAAGGGCTAAACACTCTTATGGCCCCAAGGGGCATCGTGGATTCAGTGTCTTGACATTTAAGAGCTCGGTTGTGGGATATGTGGAGGCTAAGCGGCTTCACATGCACTTCCAAGGGCAGGGGACAGGAAGGCCTGCTTGGGAAAGCAACAAAAAGACAATGTTTTACCCTGATGAGTTCTTGGCTTCTTAGGACAGAAAGGCCTTATAGGACTATAAAATATAAATGTTGGTTTGTTGATATCTGATTATGTTCTATTGTTTACTGGCTTGGTATGGGAAATCAGGAGCTTCTGGACTACTTCGGTGGGCTATGTGGAGGCTAAGCGACTTCACATGCACCCCAAGGACAGGGGACAGGATATTACCCCTGTAAAGTCAACGCCACCATTTAAAATCAAAAATCAATTCAAAACCTCAGATCTTCCATTAATGGCAACCTCACACCACAAAACAAAACATCTTGTGATTCAAAATAAAACTATTACTCGTACATTACAATAATATGCATTTTCGAATTAAATCATCAAAATCGAACTAAAGCACTGTTTATGATTGAACAGATGACAAACCTGGAAGTTTCTGGAGAGGAAAGCGGAAATGAGTGTTGGAGAGTAAACGGTGAGAAGATGAGATTGGAAGCGGTGGAGTTGAGAGAGCGCCACGTGTCGTACATAGCTTCATTCTTCTCACTCCTTCACTTCTTCCTCCTCCTTCAAATCACTAGCTAAGCTGAGAAAGTTACAGAAAATTAGGTGCAAAATTGAAGAAATTAGGGTTTTTGTTGAATTTCAAATCAATTTTCTGTTGAAATGAAATGTTAGATTGTTATGCCACGAGATGTGTGATTTATACACGAGATGATAAAAGGGGGGAATGTAATGGGCTAGGTTAGTTGGTTTAGATGGGCCCAAAAATTGGGCTAGGTGATTCCTTAGGAAGAATTCGGTCCAACTATCTGTTTGACTGTTTTCAAAATAACATCTTAAATCGCCAAAACAATGCACCGTGTTTTGTCTTCCTTGGAAGAATTCGGTCCAAGTTTATTGGCTTCTTAAATTGCCAAAATAAGGCACCGTGTTTTGTCTTCCTAAGGAAGAATACGGTCCAAGTTAATTGACTTCTTAAATCGCCAAATCAAGGCACCGTGTTTTGTCTTCCTAAGGAAGAATACGGTCCAAGTTAATTGACTTCTTAAATCGCTAAATCAAGGCGCCGTGTTTTGTCTTCCTTGGTTATACAGACAAAACACGGTGCCTTGTTTTGGCGATTTAAGAAGTCAATTAACTTGGACAGTATTCTTCCTTAGGAAGACAAAACACGGTGGCTTATTTTGGCGACTTAAGAAGTCAATTATCTTGGACCGAATTCTTCCTTAGGTAGATAGATTTATTTTGAAAATCACCAAAATAAGGCACCGTGTTTTGTCTTCCTAAGGAAGAATACGGTTCAAGTTAATTGACTTCTTAAATTGCCAAAATAAGGTATAGTGTTTTGTCTTCCTTAGGAAGGATACGTTCCAAGTTAATTGACTTCTTATATCGCCAAAGCAAGGCACCGTGTTTTGTCTTTAGAACCAGTTCGTTCTTTGATCTTGTTGTGCAAGCTTCTCTCTCACGCCGGAGAATTTTGGTCAAACTCCTTCATAATCCGGCGTAAGGTAGTAAATTACAACATTTTTCAAAAAAATAGGTAGTCAATTACAACATATTTTTTAATAGGTAGTTTCTCGCAAATTCTGGATTATAATAGGTAGTTTTTCACAAATTTTCATATATATATATATATTAAAAATTAATTAAAGCATAATTAAGATTCAAGATATTAAGGGCTTGTTCTGATTGACTGAAATGAGCTGAACTGAACTGAACTTATTGGATTTGAACTGAACTGAATATTATATGAGAGAAGGAAATTAAAAAGTGAACTAAACTAAAAATAATCTGAAGAGAACATACCCTGATTGTCAAATTCCTATTTTGACAAATATGTCTTGTCAAAATTATATATACTCCGTAACTACGTATTGAGAAACAACAAAGAGAAACTACGATTTGGTACCTTTGCTTTTTGGGCTTCTTGAAAAAGCTACTCCCTCCGTCCCTAAATTACATTCCTCTTTCTAACATTTATTCCTCACATAATAGAGAGAAAGAGGAATGTAATTTAGGGACGGAGGGAGTAAATGTTTTCTAATTCGTGAATTTCCCTCATTTGGCCTAGCTTCTATTTTAAAAATTGAGAAACAGTTAACACTACATTACGTCACTACCTAAGAAACAAGGGGAAAATGTATTTTTTTGGATATCCTTGTGATTTTTTGAGCTTGTTCACACTTCACAAGTTCACATTGTATTGGCTCAATGGAATCCTAATTATGTATAGCACGAAATAATTGAGTTTATGTATAGAAGATTAAGACACTTTCAAACCAAATGCTAACCATTTTTTTTTTTTTGGGTATAAAGTACAAATGTTGTTTACATATGAAGTATTCCACATTGAACATTTAATCTTGTTAAGGGCAAATTAGATAAGCTAAGAGAAGCCGAAGTTGAAAGCTTTGCAATGTCGGTCAAGAGACACTGACACCAGCTACATACCAAACACCGGCAAATATACTCCCTCCGTCTCCAATTGATAGTTACTTTTACTAAAAAATCACGGGAATTAAGGAGAAATAAAGAAAGTACATTGAAAAAGTAAATTTACATTGGGTATGCAAAAAAATAGAGAGATATAAAGTAATTAAAGTACATGGAAAAGTTAAATTTACACAAATATTTTTGCAAATGTTAGAGAATTTTTGTAAAAAAATAATATTAATGGTACTTGAAAAAAGCAAATGTTACTAACATTTTAAGTCACTAAAAATGATAAAAGTGGCTATCAATCGGGAAAAGAGGGAGTATCTGATAAAAATACCGAGCTTTTATCCTGGAGGCAGTCGCTCATAAGATGTTGTAGATTTGTAGTTAGCCTTGTACTCTTGTAGTAGTAGATAGTCCAAAACATAATTGTTCAAAATTTAACTAGAAAATGGCACACATTTGGAATCCAAATGAAATGTTTACATAGATTCTCAGTATATACCACAAAAGTACAAAACAAACTAGACAAAAAAAAGTCATGAAATTAACACTAGTAATAGTAAATTAAGTATAAAATAAAGTTCACATGCATGTAAGTAAATTGCATATAACAATTTCCAAAATCCACAACTTGATCATCATCAACCCCAACAAGAGAACAGAAATCAACCTAATCTGCAACGGTCATAAGTCACACAGTACATGCATCCAATAAGCAAATAACCAAATTTAATCTTACTTTATCTTCATAAATTAGAATCAAAACCAAGAATTGCCATCTATAAATACCCCTTAACTTATATCACCAAATTTCACAATTTAACATACAAAACAAGTTGTATTTCATTTTTACCCATCATAATGGCAATAACCTTGATTAGCAAAAATAATCATAATGTTTTAGTTTTCGCTATAATTTTCGGTTTAATTGGAGCATATTATGGAAACATTAAGGTAGGAAATGGGCAATGCAATGGTGATTTGCAAGGGCTTATAACACAATGTGCAGTGTTTGTCCAAAAACCTGGTCCACCAATGGATCCATCTTCAGCATGTTGTAATGTGTTAAAAAATATTGATGTTGCATGCATGTGTACGCATATTACTTCACAGGTTGAGCAGCTCATTAGCATGCCTAAAGCTATGCACTGTCTTCAGAGTTGTGGCAAAACCATGGCTCACGGCTCCAAGTGCGGAAGTAAGTTTTAATTTACGTACTTCACCTCTGCTCAGATTTAGCTGTCATGTTACTAGTTTCAAATTATATTATTAATTTTGATAATTGGTTTTGAACATAAGTTTTGTTTATTTATAACACGTGGTAACTTCCTTCTGATTTAGCTGTCACGTCACTAGTTTATACGTACGTGCTAATTAATGTTTTTTTTTTTTTTTGGCTTGTTTTTGGCAGGTTATACAGTTCCATAAGCAGGAAATGAAGAGCATCTGATTCATCTATGACATTTTGTTGTTGTAGCATCTTTCCATATGTTTTAGGCTTGTTATGGTAAATTTAACTTTTTGTCGCAAGTTTGAGTAGTTACCCTAGTTAATTTTTCTAAGTATTTTGGAAATTTCTTTTAACGCATTATGTGTTAGTGTAATTAGTTTGTCGCTTCATATGTATGAACTTCAATTATCTCAGGTGTTATTGAGTTGGTTTTTATTACATCTTCAACGTCATTTCCCAAAATGCATATTAATTCTCCTTTGCACTTTAAACAAAATGAGTACTTAAACTGTGTGATGATAAGGGATACAATAGGTGCAGTGGTTTGATTAGGCAAATCCGGATCAACGGGTGTCTTAAGTCTCTTAACAATGAATTTTCAGATGAGGGTGGTTTAGTAAGAGCTGGTAAGATCATCTTAAGTTTGAATTTGGCTACATAACCTACATTACCATGTGATAAACGTTCATGCCTAAATTTGGACGATACAAGTCGCTATTGTAAGTGTACTTAAAAGGAAGATACAGCAGAATGTGCTATGAACAAATTGCCTGCACCTGACTAAAGAGCTCACACAGGCCAAGTGTGCACGGCATTACTAGAGGTGGTTATTGGACAGGGTAGCCCAATGATAATAGGGTTAGGGCCAAGGTTATAGGGCTTTTAATGGACATTGCTATTAATGGACATGGCCCTTATTGGGTAGGGTCAATATAGGGGCAACATGTTTTTCCAATTTAGTTGATAAAGAAAATACATAATGTAAAAATAATTATATAGATTAATTTGTATTCATATGTATTTAATAATGGCTTTATCCAATATTTATTTTAATTGATATTTTGTAGGCCCGCCCATTATCAACCCGCGGCCCGAATTGTCCCGACCCTATAAAATGTGACCCTCTTTGACCCTGACCCGCACCGACCCGCACCCGACCCGCCCAATAACCAGGTCTAGGCATTACAAATGAACCATGCCATATTTGACAAATAAGAGCCTGGATTAGGAATCTGAAAACCATGTTCAATTCAACAATCTTAGATACATAATTCAAACAATAAACCTAGACACTATACATAAGCCAGGTTGCTAATGAAGTATGAAATATGAGTTTTCCACCAGCAATGCCAGAAGGAATATGATCTTGAAGCTGAACATTGAGGTAATATCATTGTACAGATCTGGAATAATGAGCTAGGAAGTTTGTAGGCGTTTATAGTTCTCTATCAAGGTAAAAGAACGAATAGCATGCCGCAAATTTAAGAAATGCAATCAGAGCAGGGTCTAATGAGAGCACTTTCAAGTTGAATTTGGGTTACTTGGCAGTATGAGGCGATCTTGGCCTTCCACTAGCTTTGCAGATCTAATGATATCGCCAGTTTTGATTTGAGGAAGAATATCTTGCCCCACTATTGTGTAACTACACCATGATATACCGGTGACGAAAAAAATCACAATCATATGAGAATGTTGAATGTAAAATAGTGATATAAAAGAAAAATATTAGAGTACAATTAAGCTTTAAAGACATACCCAAACACAGAGAATTGACCTTCATCAAATGACAGTCCTCCTAAGCCGGCCTGAAAAAGTGAAAGGGTCATAATGTATTCACATTATCATATTCTCTGTACCACTTAAATGATTATCGAATAATAATAGGTTATATATCCAAGAGGACACAAGGGAAAATTCCTATCAAAAGAGCTAAAGAAAATTCCTACACTATATTACTTGGAAAAAGTTCCCTACTTTGGGTATATGCTAGTATGCTACCACCAAAACTACTTGGTGATGTATATACAGCGCCCTCTAATAAAGCACCTAAATTCAACCTACTCCACCTCCAACCCCCTGCCCTGAATGAGCTTTGAGCATGAGGCCTCAAGTTCTAGAGTGGAAGCTCTAACCAACTGAGCTCCCCTCACATGGTTGAAGATTGAATCTTACAATGGGAACAAAAGAACTTTTTTCAAATGCTGAGTGGTAATTTTGGGTCAGCAATGTGTCGTAGAAATCACCAATAGAATAGAAGTATGATATATTTTCTCAGCCTTATTGGAAACAAAAATGCTATCTTGAGAAAAATAGAAAGATGCTCTGCTAATTTAAGATAATGCCCACTTTTGTTTAGAAAACTACTGTGAGTCCTGTGACATTATTACTTGCATTATTATTTTATTAACTGTTCCAAATTAACATTAAACAGGAATTATTGGAATACTGGTAGCCATCATTTAGTAATACAGGCTATACAGCAGTGTAAAAATAAGGTAAGTTCAACAAGGTTGGGGTAGACTTACATTTCTCTTGTCATACAAATAAAAGAAAAACTGATTCGGCGATGAGTATTCCTCAGAAGAATCACTGTGAGCCATAACAACCGCTCCATAAACAGATAATGGCAAAACTGGCAGCTCACCATCCTGAAATGCAAAGAGAGATTATACATTGCAAAATGACATCAGCAGGCTTGGCAAGTTCTCAGATGGGAATGAAAATGAACACCAACCTGTACACTCAAAGTTGTCTTGTAGAGCGGCTCAAATTGCCCAGATGGCATTAATTCTAGAGGAACACTATAACCTTTGTTTGCGTCAAGTTTGTTGTCAGAGAGAACAGCTTGAGTGGTGCAATTTAGCTTTGTACCATCATATGTTCCATCCATTAACTGATAATTTTGTGCAAGTATGCCATTTTATACAAAAGAGTTAATCAACATAACTTGATCTTGTATAGAATGAAGAAAAGTTGGCAACCTCTTGATTCATTAACACACTTGATTGTTATTAGTTTGCCACATAATTTCATAAGGAAATCATTGGTATTTTAATAACAGCAATATAATTATGTATACATGTGGCCATTGCTTAATAGTTAATTGCTCATCAAGGGTTAGCCAATGCAGTCTATGATACATATAAACCATTTGAGCCATTCAAAGAACAAAGAGCATAAGTAATCAAAACCACACTATTTCACAAGATCAAAATGTTCTTCCACCTCACAATCCCATGTAATTTCTTCAGGTAGAAAACTCAGGTTTCAGCAAATCAAGCATCTCACCAGCCTTTTTCAAAATACTCAGGGGCTCAGAGCCATGCTAACATTAACCCAAATAACCTTTTCCTAGGCAACCTCCAGGACCAAGCTCTCTTCAAGTAAACCTTGATGCTTCTCTCTGTCAGAACTTTCACTATGTAGGTATGGTGAAGTGTACAGAAAGTCAGCGGACCATTGGATACATAGTTTCCAGAGGGAATCCAGATTTCTCAGTGCTGAGTTGGAAGAACTCCTGTGCCTAAGTGCAGTAATTTTAAACGATGGTGCAGTGCCATCCATGCTTCAAATTGTAAAAACTTGGTGGAATAAAAAAAAATGACTAATTAGATTGGTGGAGCCACAAAGGTATCCAAAATGAAAATCCTTTGCAAATCTTGGTTACCAAATTGGAAATATACAAATATAGGGCACAAAAGTAAAATTTAGCCTAACATCAAGAACCTTAACTGGAACTTCTTCCAAAATAAATTCCACCTAAACTTCTCTAACTTTTAGGTGACCTACTTTCCTCCAGAAAATGTAAAATTAATTTGTGTGCATACATATAAGTGATGTCATAATGAGACTTGAACACTGAGAATCCATTTCTCAAATAAGTGATTTTAAACAGATGATGAACTCAATGTGCATAACAAAATTGGAATTTATCAAGGAAAAGTTTTGTTTAAGTACCTTACCAATTTAGCGAAATTCCCAGCAGTCAATGGTGCCGAATATCCATCTATTACAACCTGAATGCATGCATTATTGATAAGCTAAGTATGATAGTAACAAAAAGAAACAACTCACCAGCAAAGAATTTATTTACATGGCATAGAAGTGAAATTCTCAACTATTCAAATTGAAATCCTACGGTTCCTAATTCAACTATAAGCATTCTTTTTAGTACTTATGTGCAGGTGCTACATGATCTGTGTATGTCCATATGATTATAGCCCCATAAAAAGAGGCAGATAATTATACAGAAGGCATTATAAATCGGATCCCTCAGAGAGCACCTGGAGTTTCAAACTTTAATAGATGCTTTCACCCTATATAAGTATATAGTTCCTTTCACTGATCGAAGAATTGTGGGTTTCAAGAAGCTCAAAGGAAACAGTTTGAAGTGTACTGAATGGTAGATCAATTGTCTGGGTTTTAGGCGCAAACAAGTCCAAAAATGTTAAATGAGCAGAATACACGAATTAAACTAGATAATCAGGTTGAATTATTGGATTCTTATTAGTGCTTGCTTTACAATAGAGATTTATTACAGAGTTAGTACCTGAATGGTGGCTGTATTTTTGGCTTCACCTCCAGCTTGAGGAGTAAACGTAGAACCATCACCTTTTTCAATAACAAATTCAACTGTTCCTCGCCCATTTAGCCTAAAGACCAAATATATCCAAGCACAGGTTTAATACAGAAGAGATCATAAAAGGCCAACTTTATATCCATTGCTTCAAAAGCAGCAGATCAAATTTAATTGTCACAAAATGAGTTCATTAATTAATTAGCAGGAGCACTAATCAATAAAAATTATTCCTCTTTCCTTCCACCAACAATGAAAAGAGCAAAAAGCTGACAAAAAGAAAACATGCCTTGGATACTGTGAGTATTGCTGAGGTAATAAAAACGATATTCCTGGAGCCTGTTGCAATCGAAACATGTTAAATTTATTTTTGCCATCTAGTTGAAGCCTCCCCATGGAAGGATAGAAATTACAGCTAATAATCAACTAAATTCAGAAGAAATATATAATACAGTCATTTTATGTGAAGGTGAGTACAGCAAAGAAAGCATGATGAGACCTCGCTCACTAAAGGCTATGGCATGCTTTTAATAGCATCTGTTGCACAATGAAACTACAAAGGTCAGTACTAGAACCCAAGCAGTGAAAAAGGTAACAACTAGCAGAAGAGCTTCTTTGAATCTTAAAAGCTTTTGATCTTGAAGCATTCGGAATTATAATATTGGATATTATGATTGATTTGAATTGCAATTTTCCAAGGGGCCAAGAAACAGAATAGAACAGAAGCTGTTTCTAGCTATATCATCTAATCATAAGCTTAGATCTCTACATATCTCAGCAAATTAAATAGACCCCTGTGATTTCTCTCATGAACCTAGGATGACTAAGTTTTTGGAATGCACTCAAGAGTACATAGCAGCTTTAGTTACAGAAGTGACCTTTCAGTCAAACACTGTTATTTCTCACTTTCAAAGTTCTATGATTATATGAAAGAGCAAATGAGAAAACTTAAAAATGCATTCTCAGATGTAAAAAACTACTATATCATTATGTCACTCATTTGCTTAAATTTCATTTATATATAATAGAATAGTTATCAATATTCAATGATACCTGTAGCAGCTCCAATTCTGCAACTGTATCCAATGAAGATGCAAGGCCCACTGATACTCTATCAGCATCCTTTTCTTTTATGCAATCGAGAAGTGATCGCAAGCCACCCTACAAGAAAAAGCTGAAGAAAGTTGTAAAATAGTATTTACATGACATAAACTAGAAGAAGAAGCCAGCTTCAGAGTAATGGCTAGAGCATGGCCGTGCACCCCTGTTTGGACTGTGAGGATAAGAAACACAAATCTCTATTTCAGTGGACAACAAAGAAACAGCCGTTCCCTGATTTTGTGCATACTGACCAAACACAACTACTAGCTACTCGATAATTTCATCTTTTGTAGCCACTTTTTAGATAGAAGAAAGTTCTCTTCTCTGTAATCTAGTTTTTCAAGTACTTTAAGTTGCTAAGTCTATTCTCAACACTTGTACACATACTCTTGGAAATTATTAACCTCTTCTTTTGCATCCTCTTTCAAAGGGTTACTATAATTTCTAATCTCTCCCCATTATTGTTAGTGTACATAATTGATTCCTTACATTCTTGTTATTATATAATCTTCTTTCTTTTTTCTTTTAGCGTCACAAGATTCATGTCTAGTAGTTCTTCATATTTAGTAGTGTTTTTACTAGCGATCATGTTTTCTAGGTTGTTTTTCCTCAGAAATCAGGTAATTTTTAGGAGGCAATTCGAAGGGAAAAAGAAGGGGGGGGGGGTGATATGTGAAACTTGTTTGTGTGGCTGAGGATTGTTTTGTAGAATAGGAAGACTTGTTTCAATGACTTGTTTGTCATAGGTTTGGTCTTTATTACTTGATTAATAATATCCATGATGCAATCCGCGGAGGATTTGAATATATGTTAGGCATCTTCACTTGGCTCGAGGGGGTTAGATCTCATACTAAAATAACAATGATAGTTGGGGTTGATTAGGGTTTCAAGCCACGCTACAGATTTTAATCCATTGGCCCTGGATAGGAATGGGCTAGGTTGTTTCCTTACTTATTCACATTAGTCATAGGTAAGAATGAAGGGTGGTCGTTACAACTTACAAGTCATAGCATGTTAGTGGAGAGCCAATGCCCATAGACCTCTTTTGTTATATTATTTATCCTATTACAATCTCGTTCGTAGCTCTATCAACCAAAAGTGAAAATGACAGCAAAAACTCATACTCTCATAAGATGTATAATCTCTCATACTCTTATAGGTTGATCCAACCCTTCCTTACTTGCCTAATACTAGATAGGAGGCCTGAGATAGGTTTCTACTTCTTAGATAGGAGTGAAGACGAGCCTAATACTAGTTAGGAGGCCCGAGATAGGTTTCTGCTTCTTAGATAGGAGTGAGGACTGAAGACATGCCTATCACTCTCATGATTATAAATTCCCTTGAACACACACACATTTTTTTTCTCATCTTTTAATTTTCTAGGAGCTCAGGATGAGAATTTCAACATAACGTAATTTAAAACTAAAGAAAAAGCATTTAATTGGATTTAATATAGCATACAGACTACAGAGGTGTTATAGCATACCAAATATGCTGCCAAATTATGCTTAAGCAAGCACAAAGGTCAATAGAAACAAAGAGCCAGCTTCAAGGTAATAAATAAGAAGAAAGCTGCTTACAAACATTGGAAAACATATCCACAACATATATGACATACCTTCCCGTCAATCAAAGATGCATACAGAAGAGAACCCTTTTCCTTCGAATCAGCGGGCATACTACCCAAAATTGATTCCTTTTCATCTAGTGCTACCTGGCATGAAAGGTTAACAGGCTAAAAAGATCAAAGACAGTTCTATTTCTTTGACAAAGATGAGATAAATTTGAAGGTAAAGCAAGTATACATACAAAATTAAAAACATACTCAGAATAGAAGCCTAATTTTAATTGATAAAGATGCCGAGAGTTGTTGCAATGGAGAAGCAGAAACATAAACGTACAGTGCACTATGAAGGGAACAAGATATACACATAATGAGGCATAAATATCAGAGACCAAAACTGTATCATGTTATATATCAGAGAATTTTGCATGATGTGACAAATCTTTTCCTACTAGTTCAATGGGGCAATACAAGCACTTAAAGAAATAAATAATTCACATGCATAATTTATTTTTTAACAAGAGTTGAATAGATTAAATACCAAGTGGAAAAAAATCACTGTAATTTGTCATGATAGATGAAGAAATATCATCATATACTTCTTCCGTTTCTATTTAGTTGACGCATTTGATTTAGGCACGTATATTAAGGAGAGGAGAGAGAGTGAGAGAAAATGAAAAAGCAAGTGGTGTAGCTTGTAAATGCAAGGTAAAAAATTTATACCAAAATGAAACGTGTCAACTAAAAAAAACTTCCTAAAAAAGAATACGTGTCAACTAAAAAGAAATGGAGGTAGGATAATTCTTATTGAGTTAAACTTCAGTTTTTAAGGACATTTAATTACCTGATGCTACAATAAAGTAAATATATTTAAACTTCAGGCTGAATGAAGAAGGCACAGAGTTTCATCTGTCAAATTGAGTTATGTTATCACTGCTGGCTATTGTATTTATACATTTGATCTTTTGATTAGACCATGGATGCTAGCAAGATGAATAATATATATACATTGACATATACAATTCTACAATTTTACATCATTTAAGACTTGATCCTGAAAATTTTAGAAAGATATCTAAATACTTCAACCCTAGTTTTACTCAACAGAGGAGGTCATGTTGGAGTACATAAACATCACCAAGTATGGAGTTCAATGAATACTGTTCGATTCAATTAGTATCCAGTGAGAATAAGGGTTGTTCTTATAATAAATTACAACATACTCCCTCCGTTTTTAAATACTTGCTCCATTTCTATTTTTTGCGCTATTCATTTGTCCTACTTTGACTAATGTTTGTGATTTATACATAAGAAAAAATATAATCTTGTGGGTATCTGTTAGAATCATCTCAATGAATAGATTATTAATTTTCAATTGTTAGAATTTATACTTATTGATAATTAAAGATATTAGTGATCAAAGATTAGCATCGGCATGCGTGCCCAAGAGAAATGGAGCAAGTATTTAAAAACGGAGGGAGTAGTAGTTAGCCTCGGTTACAGAAAGCAAAATGCCACTATAGAAAATCAGTTATACTAGTAAGTGAGCTAGCTTGTAATACTCTGAAATTTAAATATGTAATGCACGTAGTTCATGGATCCATTTAAGACAGATATTGAAGGTTTCTCTCTATTCAAGTAAATTTTATTTCCTTCTACAGTTATCTACAAAACTCTGAAATGAAATTCCAGATTCGAATGTTTGAATTATATCCTTGAGTAAGCCGATACTGACAACAGATCAGTACAGCTGTACAGAGCAGAAATAATCATAATTCTGCTTCATGTAATTATGCTGCAGTGCATGTAAAATATAAATGATACGCTACATAAATATTATAGCTGCAAAGCATAAGAAAACAAACCTTCAATGCTTTTTTTACATTTCCTTCCATCGTTCCGTATGGTTTTCTTTGAGGGATTCTAAGCAAGTATGAGAGCTCCTCTAGAGATTCCTGGACAAGATAAAAATATTTGACAAAGGGGGGGAGACATGTCAAAGTAAGATAACAAGATAGTTCTCAGAGAACCATGTGAAACAATGTAAAGATCAACCTGTATTGTTTTCATGTTTGAGTTTGCTGGTATTGCCCTTCTTAATGCAAGTTCCCCAGTTCTAGGAACTTTAGTATCTGGAGAATAAAGCACAGCCTTTGCGGGAGGGACAGAGTAACCCCACTCAATAATAGGTAAAGGAGTTGAAATCTGAGCGACGAGAAGAACTGCAGCCAAGGTCCTTTGGAGTCCTTTCAGCCCATTCTTAACCATGGGGGTATAAGATGTACCATGCTGATCTGTTGATTCCTGCATGACTGAAGTTCCATTTATGAATTGGGATAACCATGAAAAGAACTGAACTCATTGTACTATACAAGGTTGATAGGAATCTGTAAAGCATTAAATGAAAGATATACAGAACCAGCAAAGTTATATGACTTATATCAAATTATATTATCTTACTCATTCATTCAAACAATTGGCAATTGGCACTGTCTTGCTCAAACAATATATCACATAGTACTAAAAAAACCACCCACAACATGTAATTTCATACTAAATTCTATAAACGGACCAACTAGGCTATATGATAAAAGAACGCGCAACTATGCTAATTAACCTTAAATGAACATTGATCATAGCATAATGCACATCATTCTCCCACATATATAATCTAGACAAACATTTGTGTAAGACGGCCTTACCATCATAAGACCACTTTTGTGAGTCGAAGCAAGCATGTAACCCTATCCCTAATTCTAACTCCCCTTAGCCCAACCAACCCATGATCTTATGAAAGTAAGAGTCTTATTTAGAAATTTGTATATAATCTAGCAGTCTAGCTAGTACTCTTTTCGTCAACAAATAATCTTCTCGCACTCCATTGAAGGATGGCCAAAAAACACCTTCTTATCAATTATAAAAGAATGTTCACCACTAAATCCATGTAAAATAGAATCCTATACTTACTCTCTTACTCTCATACTCTTATCTCACTATACTTAATTCATCAATTTGCGTCTCCAAACCTAACAAAACGATTATTAAGATAAAAGAAAACAACACATCATACTCCCAATTGCATAACTCAATAGTGCACAGCATGCTTCGGATGAATTTGTGCAGTAAACAACATTAACAAATTGAAAATAAGATATACAAATGAGAATTGAATGTACATTGACAAATTGAAGTAAAAAAAAAAGGGGATTATCAGAAAGAACCAACCTTTAAGGAGTAATGGGTAGTTACGCGTCGAACAGTGGAATGCTGGATTGTTTGAATTCGAGGGAAGAGGAAATGGCGGTGAAGGGGAGAAGTGAATTGGGAATTCATTGAAATTTTGGGAGATGAAGAGAGGAAGATTGGAGAATATGATAATTGGGACGCCATTGAAGAACTGAGTTGGGGGAAGAAGAGGAGGGATAATGGCGCGTTACCTATAGCCTCATCTACTCAACGTTATCTCATCATCAACTCATCCGGCTTGGGTTACTTCTTACTTGTTTGGGTATTCATTTTTTATAATTTTTGTTCATTCCATCTCGGAGCCAAAAATATAACTCCGATAATTACTTATTACTCCCTCTGTTTTTAATTAGTCGTTCCATTTCTATTTTTTGCACTATTTATTTATCCTAGTTTAACTAATGTTTATAATTTATACATAAAGAAAAAAAATATAGTCTTTTGGGTACTTGTTGGAATCATCTCAATGAATAGATTATTAATTTTCAATTGTTAGAATTTTACTTATTGATAATTAAAGATATTAGTGATCAAAGATTAGCATCGGCATGCGTGTCCAACAGAAATGGAGCAGGTATTTAAAAATGGAAGGAGTACGTGTAAAAATAGACATTATTTGTGAGACATAAAAAAATTAGATATTAGATAGTACTCTGTATTATTTTGACAATCAATCTAGTATAGATTGCGTATAATTTGATAATACACTTTTGATTTTGTGGATTCTATAGAGTACCCATGCTAATGCACGATATATATCTTTGGTGAAAAAAATGGTAGATATTGGAGAAGTTAGAGAGAATGGATGGTTATTGCCGGTGGTAGGCCTGTACAAAACTATCCGAGAATCCGAAAATTCGATAATCAGATTTGTAACCGGTCCGAATTTTTGGATATCCAATCCGAGTTTTCATTTCGGATCGGACATCCGATCCGAAAAAGCCGATATCGAATGCGGATTTGGATATTAATTTTCAAAATTTTGGATATCCGATATCCAAAAGATATCCGAAATATAAAGCCTAAAATAGTGAAATATATATAGTTTTTTTAATTGTTTCATATAAAAGTAACCCTGTATTATTAACTTATTATATTATTCTTAATATATTTTGAAAATATTTATTACAAAAGGACTACTAATTTGTTAAAATATACTTCCTCTGTTCTTTTTTACTTGACGTGTTTCTTTTATCATGCTTGCCAATACAAAACTTTAGCGATCAATAATCTTAATTTTCCGTAAGTAAAAATTATAAAAGTTGTACATTATGATAGTATTTATTGAGACGAATTCAAAAAGATCCCACATGAATATATTTTTCCTTAGATATCATTCACAAAAGACAGTCAAAAGAGAGGTAATGAATAGTGTAAAAGTCAAAGCGGATCAAGTAAAAGAGAACGGAGGAAATATTGTACAACTTAGTGATAAAAAAGTAAAATTAGTGAAATTTAGAAAGTAATCATAACAATTTTACTTAATATTGGATAATGGATATCCGAAGCACCCAATTCGAAAATTTTGGATATTCGAGTGTTCAGATATCCGTTACGAAATGTGTGACCCAAAATCACATTTCGGATCAGATATCTGATCCGTGAACAAGCCTATAGGGTGGTTATTATTTAATTTTTTGTAAAGAAAATTTTTAGGGTAAAAATACCTTAGATACGTGGACCAATGAGAGGAAGCCACGTGTCGAGCTCAGGATGGCCCACGTGGCTTAACATCCTCTTGACACTTGGCGCCCTCAGATACACTTCTAAAATGGCGGCCTTCAAGGGCCCAAATTCTAGAAGCACCGTTTTACGGCGCAGCCCACTGAAAGTTAGGTCAAGTGACCTAGATAGGGGCACACTCTCCAAGGGCCCTATAAATAGGGAGATATTTCCCCACTTTGGGGACACATTGAATCATTGATTACACCTGCATTCTCTCACATCAGAGAAAGACCTGAGCTTGGAATCCGAGCAGATACCCACCTAAATTTCCGTTCTCTTTATTCCCTTTCAAGTTACTAACTTGATCGTTGGAGGCGGAGCTCCACCCACCCGGAGTCTCCGTTATTTTGCAGGTACAACCCAGCCGGATCAGACTTCGTGACGTAACTCACCCAAGGGACAAAAAACCCAAAACATTTGGCGCCGTCTGTGGGGAGAGTACCTCGAAGATGGTTCAAGAGTCTGTACCCCTTAACCGTCTGGGCGATGACCCAGAAGTCTTTACAAACCAGGAGGATGAAGATCCCCAGGTCGAAACCTTTACAACCGATGACGGCTCTCTCAGAATCAAGCACATCCGGCCCAGAGAGACTCTAGAGCGGGGTGCCTCCCAGGCGGGTGCAAGTCGACCCCCTGGGCAGCCGGAAGGGGAAACCCATACGGCCTCAGGATCAGCACTTGTCACCCGAGACGAACTCATGAGGTTCATGACAAGTTTCAAGGGTGAAATTAAAGAGCTGATCACCCAGAGCCGGGCTAGCCCAAGTAGAGGTCAGTCGGCCAAGAAGGCTCCTCTGGAAAAGGGGAAGTCAGTCAAAGATCGGCAGCCAACTCCCCATCCAAAGGAGAAGGCAGCCGGGACCATTGATTGGTCCAAGATTCTTCTTCCTAAGAGGAATACCAATAACACCCGCCGGACTCAACAGTCGGTGGGAAGTAAAAAATCATCTCTTGATGCCCGGGAGATTATCAACCGGAAGAGAAATCAACAGTTGTCTGAATCGGCTTCTACGTCGAATTTTCCAAACAACTTTAACAATACTTCTGCGGGTTGCGCTCCTACGTCAGGCGGTTCAATCTGATTAAAATTCAGATTCAAGGACTGTTTGATGAGGTAGCTTTTACAGACTTTTTCAAAGGTCTAAGAGACGGGTCGACTTTTAAGTTTGACCTAGTCAGAAAAGGGGCTTTTACCTTACAGGCGACTCTGAGAGGCGGAAAGCTACATTCAAGCTACTGACCTCTGCTCGCCTGGTAACCAGTCGGACTCCAAGAGGTCCGACAAGCAGAAAGACATCCGGCCTGCCCAGCCGGCCAAAAAGAAAGAAAAGAGCGAGAAGAGAAAAGAAATCTGGGCGGTTAGTGATTCTGACCAGCCGTCCCAGAAGAAGAAGAAAGAGTTTAAACCGTACGTCCCCAATTACGAGTTTAACAAGGACTGCAATTCCATCCTCATGGAAATTAAGGACCGGCTGTCCCTAGAGAAGCCGAATCCAATGAAAAGTTCCATTCAATCAAGGAACAAAAATAAATTCTGTCAATACCATGAGGAAGTTGGCCATGACACCAACGACTGCTTCAGCCTTCAACGGGCGTTGGACCGTCTGGCTGACAAGAGAATGCTGAATTCCTACATTTCTAAGTCCCCAGCCGGGGCAAAGAAGAAGAATAAGGGTCAGTCCTCTAAGACTACCCCCCAGCCTGCTAGTAGCTCGGATACCGACAAGGAGCCGGTCTACACAATAGCAGGCGAGTTCTCATGTGGTGGCCCTACCATCCGGGGCACCAAGAGCTATCTTCAAAAGATGGACAAAGATGATGATGGGCAGGCGTCTGCAAGCTCCTCCTTCCCGGATATTCTGATCACCGAGAAGGATAGGGGCAGTGTTCACCGCCCACACGATGACTCGGTCATCATTGAATGTAAGGTTGCCAACCAACTGGTTAGACGGATCCTTATTGACACCGGCAGCTCATCAGACATCATCAGTCTCCGGTGCTTGCAGAAGCTGAAATACAATGACAGCAGCTTGCATCCGGTTACCCACCCCTTAGTTGGCTTTGGGGGTGGAATGGTTTACCCATTCGGAAGGGTTGATCCACCCATCCGGCTGGGTGACACCTAGTCGTCAAGTTTTTGGTCGTTGAGGAGTTGACCGCCTACAACATTATCTTGGGCCGGCCAACCCTCAACGAATCCAAGGCTGTAATCATCCCTTCCCTCATGCTCATCAAGTATGAGAGGGATGACAACTCTGTTGGTTCCTTGAATGGGGATCAGAAGACGGCCCGGGAGTGCTATCTCTCAGCCGTCAAAGATACCGTGGACCAAGACGGCCAGGAACCAATAGACCTTGACAATGTCAAGGATGCTGATCCAGTACCAGCCCCACCAGCAGCCGGGAAGAAAAGAAAGGCACCTATGCTGGTGGAGGTGAAGAAAGAGAAAAAATAGCAATCACTGACCGGTGAACAGTCAGATGAGCTCCGTCCCCAACCGGCTGGTGAACATATTGATATACCTCTGGACGACAGCCGTCTGGAGCGTACCGTGAAGGTTGGGACGGTTGCTTTTTGCAAAGTTGGGTGCAGACTTGCACCTTCTGCTGAAAGAATTCAAAGACATTTTTGCCTTTGAAGTGGAGGAGATGTCAGGCGTCAGCCCGGATCTTGTTGTCCACAAACTCGCCGTGGACCCTAAAAATAAGCCCATCCGGAAAAAGAAAAGAAATCACGGCGAGGAGAGAAGTCAGGCGGCAGCTGCCGAAGTTAAAAAGCTGTTGGATGCTGGGTTCATTCGGCCATGTAATTTCCTCGACTAGGTGGCGAATGTTGTGCTTGTAAAGAAGCCGAATGGTACTTGGCGTATGTGTGTTGATTACGCAGATCTCAACAAGGCATGTCCCAAGGACAGTTATCCGCTTCCTAAGATCGACATTCTGGTCGATTCGACAGCCGGGCATGCCTTGATGAGCTTTATGGATGCCTACTCCGGCTTCCATCACTAGTAGAAAAAAAGCATTAGGCACCCCCCATATGGCACCAGTTCAGCCTAAACCGGTGCCCAAAACCGGTCTAGAATTGGGCGGGTTTTTACCAAAAGAGAAAAGGCACCGGTTCACCCTGAACCGGTGCCAAAAATAAAAAAAGGCACCGGTTTGAACCGGTGCCATTCATTTTTTTTTTTAAAAAAACGGCTTTTTATTTTATTTTATTTTTATATATATATTAAGTCTCAAACCCTAAAGCTAATTCACTCACAAAAAAACTTCGCCGCTCATCCTTTCTCTCTCATCCATTTCTCTTTTATCTCCTCTCATCTCCTCTTTCAATCTCTTTCTCGTTCTCTTTCAATCCCTTTATCATTCTCTTTCAAACCCTTCTTTCCATCAAATTTGATTGCATTTTTTTTTATCGATTTCTCGGTTATTTTTTTTTTGTTTAAGATTTCAATTTTTTTCTGGGCTTTTGATTTTTCTTTCAATTTCAATTTTTCTTTCGATTTCAACTATTTTGAATTCTGGGTGTTTTCGATTTGTGGGTTATTCTGG